AATTTGTAGGATTTCTATTCATTGGAGAATCTTCAATATCAGGATAAATAATTATATATAGGAAACATTTTTAGGGCATACAAAAAGTATAACATTTCCCCTTTCTTTTGAAATTTGAAAGGGTTATGAGTAAATTAAAAAAATAGATGAGACAGCTACTCTATCAGCTCAGATCCGCATAGGAACAATGGAATTGTGGTCTGGGTGTTGCCAGCCCTGGGTTGGGTGCCTTGTGGTCCTACTCATTTATGAAATGTCTGTTTCAATCTATATTGAGGATGGAAAATTATCCCAATTTCTTTCAAAATCTTTAGTTTGTTTCCATCATTTCTAATCACGCCACAATGCAATTTTGTCATTAGTCTAAAAGCATTTGCTTCGTTCAAGGGAACTGGCGTTACTTTAGAGGTTGCAGTAGTATGCAGTTATGATAATTGATACCTGATATCAACGGATTCCAACTATATATATAGTTTTAAATTGTTAAATATAATTAAGATGTGTATAAATTAAGGTAGTTCACATATTTTTGTTGAAATATATATTATTAAAATAAAAAAATGATTTTCTAAAAGCTTAATAGATAAGGCTTTAGTCTCATAAGATTACAAACCAGTTGTTAACAGGCAGCTTAACATGCTAATATAGTAAGATTCCCTTAACAGGGCATTGGCATGTGATTTCCCTATCAGCATACTTTGATGTTGATAGATGTTACCGGTTGACGATTATAATGCTAAACCAACATGAGAATTAAATCATTCACGATTAATAGGATGGGAAGCGTAATTAAAAGGACGATGACCGTTAGTTATAACATACGGTTCACGTCATAATCTTATTTGTATTCACCTAATGCCGTCTAATTATCATGAAATATAACTCTTCTCTTAACACATTGTTGCCCGAACTCAACAAAGTAAGCCATTTGCGTGAAAAATGAAAAGAAACAGGTAACTTTTTTTAATATTGCCACCCACTCGATGAATTGAGATAATCTCTTCATTCCCTTCCCAATTTTTTTGGGTACATATATATTTTAATCTTGCTATGTAACCGTAATGAGGTAATATGCACCTTCTAATATGTGCATAAATCATCATTCAACTCGCATCTCCCATTTTGGCTATTGAAAACCAACGTGATTATTTCATCATCGTTCTTCCCCTTATATCACCCATAAAGTGATATTAAAGAAGAAAATAAGACACTCATCCTCTCCTCATCAAACTTAATGTTTAAGTAGTTTATGAAATCATAAACTACTAAGCTTTCAGATGGGCTAACCTTTGGATGCTTGTATTGGCTAATGAACATATATATTTGGCTTTAAAGGTGAAGTTGCCAACTGCCTGCACTATTGGCTAGAGGATTGATGGTTCAAGTCAAGCTCACCACCAAAATGAAAATCAATGCTAATGAATATGATAAACAGCTTGTGGACTAACCGATCCATGAATATTTTATGATTTTCTTCAATTGGAATTGACTCATTCTTTCCATTAAATAAAGAAAAAATGTAACACTTCACATGGGAGTTGAGGATAACCTCACCAATATTAATCTAGTCAGACAGAGCGTGCCGAAAACAGAAGGCATGATATTTAGTTCCACTTTATAATAACATGATTTTTTGCATCCAAATTTTAATATTTACCTTACTTTTTTTTAGAGGTTAACTTTGATACGTTGTTCATACATATTATATTATTAACGAATCAAAATGACTTTAAATTAATGATCTTTTATTTATTTGAACACTAAATTTAACTTTGAAAATCAGTAAAGCTAAAAGAAACTGAACAATTTTAAAAAATAAATAAAATTGACATTAGTTCATATGCTAACAAGTGTGTTAGGAATGTTCGTTGCAAGAGTGTCTGAATTTAAAATGAAATAAAATGTTTAACAGCATTACTCAAAGCCAAAAAATATTATAGTTTAATTTAGACAAATTTCTCATTAAGTACAAAGACAAAAATAAGAAAGTAAAATGAATAAAATTTTACTTATAATTTAATATCAACTTATGTGTTTCTATTTTTTAGAAGTATACTTATTTAATTTTAAAAAAAATTAAAATATATGTTAATTTTAACAGAAAAAGTTTATTTGTATTATCTTTTATTTTCTTCTCTTATAAGTAGTTATCTAAGATTTTTCTTAATATGGCTTACGTATATTTAGTTTAACTTATTTCGGATTATAAAAAAAAAAAAACTGTTTGTAAAATAAAATGAATAGTTTTGCGTAAATTGAGGAGGCCTGGGTGCATGACTTATTTTCATTTTTGGATAAAAAGGAAAGGCAAAATAGTCGTTTATCGTATATGGTACCTGAAAAATGGTTATGAAGTTAACGCCATATTCTGCTCAACTCAAAATGAAAAAGCAATTTTAGTCTGTCAGACAACCGAATGACCATCCCAGGCAGATGAATCTGTCTGAGAACGATCCTCTGCAGCCCAGGATGAGCCTTTTCCTAAGAAAGGGTTCACCGAGCCAATAATCACGCTCTGATCAAACGGTCTTGATTCATCCACCGGACGTAGGTTCCTGTCTCCTTAGAACTCAAGGAAACAGAGGTACGAGCCTATAGAACAGATCCTGTTCAAGTAAGGTCGTGACAGCATGTTTCATTCTTAACAATATAAACCCTTTTCTTTATCTAAATCCATTCAATGTGGGACTATGTTCATGTTGGTGTCGGTGCCGGTGTCAGTGTCAGATTAGTAACGTAGTTGTGACTTTTGTTACAGGATGACGGTGTGATTATCATGGTGTATGTAAGAATTCTTAGGGGAATTTGAACTGCAAGATTTATTGTGTATAGAGTTCAGAACTTGAAACCTGTGGAACATGGACAAAATTTGAGTGGTAAATTAGGAAGACATTGTTGCTAGTATTGGTTACAGCATTGTGGGTTCACTACACAAATCCGAAAATGAATGGAAACAATAATTGTCTTTGATTGTTTGTGATCATTAAAAAAACCGAGCCCAACATGTTCCCAGCCATGATATCCAATTAGTAACTAATGTCTCAGTGCACATGAAAATAGTATATTCAATGAGGTAGTATAACTATAACTAATTCTAGCAAGAAGGTGAGTTACTAATCAAATTCGAAGAATTATGTTATTTAGACTTACAATGGCTGCAATCATGCCGCTTAATTCCATAATAGCTATCACTTTTCTTGAAATATCAACGATGAATCAAGAGAATGAATAGAACCATTTGCAACTTTGTTAATGTACAAAGGGAAAATAATCTTATGGCTTATGAGATGATGGACCATCTTTTGGGCACCAAAAAGTAAATTACATGAAAAGGAAAATTGCATAATAAAATAAAACTACTTTTAATTAATAAAAAATTGACACGGTTAATTGACCGTTGTGACCCTTAAACTTTGTTTGAGAATTTAATAAGGAAGAGGAAAGAAGACTCTTTTTTTTATGTTTCATATTAATTGAGAGTCGTGTTTTTTGATTTTGTTTGAAAATTTAATGAAAAAGTGAAAATGAGAAATCCTAAAAGGAAAATAGATGATTAATTATTAAAATGACTCTTATTCTTTTTTGTTAATTTTTAAAAAAGGTCGAAAATTGTTTTTATTTTTTCAAAAAAATCCTAAAAAATAAATAATTTGTCTTCTATCTAAAAATTAATACTTTTGAATTTATATTTCTAATTTCGTTCTCTTTATTTTTAATAATTGTCTTCTAAATTAATATCTTCAAAATTATTTTTCAAGTTTCTCTCTCTAAAATTAATTTTATAATTATTAAATGGTTTCGTAGAAAAAGGTCTTGAATGGCAATTCAAGGCATCTCACACCTACAATGATGTATAATGTCTCTACTGTCTTCTGAAATTATGTGTGAATGTGAACATTCGAAAATCTTTACTTTAGAGAAATTTAAAAAAAAAAAACTTAATGAGAGTTTTGGAGGGTAAAGGAAAATCTCCAAATCCTTTTCTCCATTTTTCTTAAACTTTCAAACAAGGATTGATTTCAAATAAACAATTTTCTTCCCTTCCTTCTCATTTTAAACAAAGCTTTAAGCATGCTGACAAGGGCTTGATTTCTAGTTATGTGTATAGGAAAGACTTTGTTAAAAGAGACAAATTCACTTCAGTGATCCCTATTCCTTAGTCTTCAGTTGTCGACTACTGGAGGATTAGTGGGGGTTGAGTTGTAGACTTGATTATTCCTATACCATTTTTATATTGTTATATACTTATATTAACCTCAACTGCTACATTGTTGCCTTTTTTTTTTCTAATCATCTAATAAAAACAAAATTTAACTATAAAGCTTAGAAAAATAAACTCCCAAGATAGTGTACTTAAGATGCATAAATAAAAAAAAATAAAAATATTACAATCAAGAGGCTCCTTATGAACCATTTAAACTAACATGTTAGCATAATAACACATGCATGATAGATTTAGGTGCAAAATGACACCTTGAATGAAATATACTCTCTGAATTCTTTTTTCATTTGTTAATAACTTATCATGAACAACTTTCCAAAAAAACAATTCAATTTTTGGAGGACCACGTCACTTTCAAGTCAATTTAAACAATCAAACACCTGACTAGTAAAAAACTCACCATTCTTTGCAGTTAAAGATCAACCAAAAACATCATTCACAACTCCAAAATTAGGTGAGATGAACATGAGACATCTATATTTGTATTATCTCTTGGATGTGCCTCCATCCTATTGTTCCTCTTGGATAAAAGTTGTTCCTAAACATTAAACAAGTCAAATTAATTTCATTTATTTTTCAAGAGATAGGCAGAGGAGTTTGGGGTTCCATTGGCTTTATAAGATGAAAACCAGTTCTCTGCCGTTTACAAATTACCCATTTTATTTTAACAATCAGTCTTGTTTATTTGTCTCCTCTTTGTTAAGTCCCACACAGAAGAAGTATGAACCAATAATGCTTAAGCCAGCTATAAAATGAATCATCAGTTATCTTGCTAAGCATACCTTTCTCGGCCTTTTGGCTAAGATCAAGTGTAGTATCTGTTCTTATCAGTTTAATATCTGATACGTGAACCATTGGTTTACATGATATTAAATTTATTTTTTAGGGAGAGGACCCTTCATTGTAGCTTGCTACTGGTGTGTCCTCGTGCATCGCCCCTGCCTTGCACTACAGCATGGGGCAGGTGCATCCCACCCAATTCAGTTCAAGTTCTTTGTGATTTGTATTTAATTAATCTTATTTTAATTACAATATTCCATGTTTAAGTCATTTCGGTGAATTTGTAGTATGTACTTCTCTTGTTTTTAGATTATAATGTTCCCACTTTAATTGGTCCTATTTTTATTAGCTTCCTATACTCGCCTCCGGCAACAATGTCATTGAAATTCAAGTTTTTCTTACTATTCTATGTCCTTGCAATTATATTCTTAAGTGGTATGGTGATGAGAGATGCATGAACTATTTGATTGTATGAAGTATTACATCCTCTGTAGACTGAAAGGATCACAGATTCAATGTTCATCTATCCCTTAGAAGATGTGATGTGTTTCCTTTTCATCTTTCTAACATGTAGGCACTCGAGCACTTTCCATAAACTTTTAACAATTGTTCGACCAAATACTCCAATAAAATTCTCAACTGGTAAACATAGCATCATAAAATTATATTTAATATGCTATTCAGGATACCAGTCTATTGATAACAATAGAGATCGTATAAAATTATAAAATTCAACAAAATGAACATTCAAATTAACTGTTAACTAAAGTAGGTCTCTTCTTCAATTCAAGTTCGATAGGTGTGGACTTGAATCCGATATATGATGTGAATTAAGCTTAAAAATTCACGTCCAGTTTTAAGATGGCATGCCCAAAATTTGGTTAGTCCATCTGGGCAAACAAGTTTTTGAGATTAAAAACCTAAATACGATAAAAAGGGATAGGTAATGGTAGAATATTAACAACTTCATGTAAATAGGGAGATATTTGTTTTAAGAAAAGGAAAATCTATGGGATCCTGCAACTGCAATAAGTTAGTATTTTACTTTTTTATTCCTGATATTTTCTTTCTTTTTGATGGGTATGTATGATTTGTGGCTATAATATCTCGATTATCTTTTAAAATTTTCCGTACTTTCAGGTACTATTAAGATTATACTTCTTTCTAGATTTGTATTGATTACTTGACAGGGAGCTGAAGGTGTTTTAAAATATTAGGCTTCTTGATTACTCATTGTCACTAGAGCATTATGTAAGAGTTTTCTATCATATCATAACATTATAATCCTGTCGCTTAAAATAAACTGTACCTTTTCTTCATTTCATATTTTCCCTATATTTCAGCTGAAATGATGTCTATCTCAAGTAAAAGAAATGGAGGGGAAAAACGCAATTGAGTAGGGTCATTATCTTTTCTTAAAATGAAGTTAAATCATTAAGCTTTGAGATGGTCTGATCCTAATAATTCTCACCATAAGCATGGTTTGCTGGTTAAACTTTATAGGTCATACCTGAATGGTGCAATCCATACATGTCAAAGCTACTAATATTCAATGAGTTAGCCTTGCCTACTTTTATGATCTGATGATGGGATTTTTCTGAATGAGATGAGTCACATCTGCTCATAGAAAAGATAAACGTGCTCATATCAATATTGTGCTTAAGATTTAAGACATGGTTCTGGAAAAATACAGTGATATGGGTTCACAAAAATAATTAGTCATGTCTCATGCAAAATGCACAACAAAAAAGCTTATGTCTGTGATGCTGTTGGTGATTCTAAACCTTCAACCTCTTAGGATTTGTGCATTACTAGAAATTCTGAAAGACAATACAAGTTCTTTTTAAAGACCTGAGCATGAACAAGATAGGTCCCACACAAGCATGTCTACACACACAGCAGAGACATCTGGCGACACTGGTTTTTGGTTCAAGTGGTCTTTAATAGTGCACTTGGTTCCTGATCTCAGACAGCCAATCATGAGCTTTCTCAGCATTTATTGCATTGGTTTCCTAAGTGTGTGTTTGATGCATAAACATTTTTAATATCAAGATGTTCTTAGGAATGGGCCATTGGCCATTGATATTCATGCCTAGCTTATAATCAAAGGAACAAACTTCAAGAGAGCAGAAGGAAATGATAATAGCACCCCTATGACAAGTGCTCTTGATATTTTTTTCTGTATAAAAAATTGTATGTATTGGACAGATATTTAGCTGATAGTTTCCCCAAATAGTATCTGATGGATGTGTTCTCAAAGGATCGCGCACAGTTTGGTATCCATACGATGGAAAGATTTTACAACCGAAATCTAACAAGTTTGATGATGATTTTAGGAAAAATAAGTAATCGTTTAAAAAAAACAAAATTATTAAGCTGTGAAAAATAAGAAATTATCTATCTAAAATTAACTAAACTAAATTCCATTTATCCTTAGTGGCAGTGAGCTTTAGCACATTCATCGTGTCTTTGCATCGGGTGTAGACCATTTTCAAGTTTATCATGTTGGACCTTCTAATTCCGGATTACATAGTCATACAAATTTACACATAAACCATACAAAAAATTTTATACTGAAATACAATCTAAACTAACTAAATTGTAAACACTCCTATGACTTCTATAGCCCATCAAATCTACGGATAAATATTTTATTACATTAAAAAATATAAAAAAATAATCTTTTATAAAAGATTATTACTTTTAAATATTTTAAATTAGTCTCAAAAATAAGTTTTATCGCTCATAGTAGTTTTATCTAGCTGAAAGAGGATTATCTCTAATAGAATATACATACGATATAAACTAAAAAACTAGTTCTAAGACAACCGTTTATAAAAAAGCATACAAGAAAGAAATGTCATATCAAAGCAAATAGCTTAAGTTCAAGTGTTTGGTCAATGAAACAAGAATTTGGTTCAAATCTTATAAAACTTATCCAAATTTTAACTTATTTTCGCCCCTAGTTTCATACGAGAATATCTAATTCTTTTCTAAGTAGTGATAAAAGCTTCAACCATTCTGATGTTAGTATGTTATTAACTATTATGGTTGAGTTGAACTAAATTCTTGTTGACTATTTAGTTTTAGCTACTTTGTTCACTTAGTTAAATCGTTATTCTTACATTAATTAAACTTATTGAGAATATATATATTATGAGAATAATTGCTAGTGTTATAATTTTCAATAGTTTAATTAAATAATATTTTTGTACTTTTATATTTTTAATTAGATATAGGAAACTCAATTGGTCATACACCAATTAAACAAGTGATTTACTAATTCTATCTATGTTGATATAGGTTGGGTTCTATGCAAGATTCCTAATCAACTCAAATACCCGATGTTAAATCCAAATAGTCTATTATACACCTACTAACTTTAAAAATAATAGTAAGTTGTACATTTTGGTATATTATAAAATAATTAATTATAATTTGCCAAGATACTAAAAAAAAATTAAGTGGGTTATATCGTTTTTAAGAGTATATTAGTAAATTAAAATATCCATGAAATTTATTATAAGAAAATGTTTAGTTTTTGTGTTTTACTTATGTCTTATATATATATATATATATATATATATATATATATATAATTTATTTTTAAAATTTTTTAAAAAAACATTGTCGCAGATCTTTTTAAATTACATCATATTTAACTTCAAATCACTTTTTTTTTTAATCCTAGTACTGGGCAACGTCATTTTGCATTATATTTTCACACCCTGCAACATTAACAAATTCATTGATTTTTTTTTTTAACGATGTTTACTATTAGGATAAATTTTAGCATATTTTATAAATTTTTGGGATAAAAAAAAATAGTGTGCCAAAATTTAAACCTAAAAGATATTAAAAAGTAATTAGAGCTGACAAAATAAGCTACCTGATCTAATTCAAGCCTGTAAAAATAGTACTTAAATGGGTAAAGGATAATTTTTTTGCAAATTTTTACGGGATTATCTGGCATTAGGCTAGATAAGATAAAAAGCTCAAATTTAATTCGAATTTAAGATGTAAAATTCAAGGCTTATAATTCATGAACAGGCCCACGTTGACAGTTTAAGCGTACTCCTTGGACAAATCACTTAGACCCAACATGGTTAGTTCACTCACAACCTCTTATCTTCATTGGGCCCAATTTCTACATACACTTCAACACAAAAAGATTACAACAATAGATCATCATACTAATTACGATTACAACAGTACCATAATATTTGACAATTATGTCACGCTACCACATCACCTGCACTCATGCATTCTATAACCAACAATATTTCACTTGATAAGGTATCAATTCTCTATTGTTATTCTCCCAATACAACATATTTACCCAACTTTAGAATGACTTTACAGGCACATAACTCTTTGAGCTCACAAAAGAAACACTAAATCATAAAATATTTTCTAGACTATAACCGAGTTAATTTCTAGTGTCTTAATTAATATTTATCAGTTTGAACAAGTTTAGTCAATAGAAATAATGTTTTTATTTGCTTTCTCATTTTTAATATTTTTTAAATAAGTTCCCAAGAATACTTTTTTAATTCTCAAATGATTTCTCTGTTGATAATTTATTTTTTATTATTTACTTACATAATATTTGAGTTGTCTCATATAATATGACCAAAAAAACCATTAACATCAGTGATATGATCTCGGCATATTAATGCTCTTACATTTCCAAATCTTAATATAAAAACTCCCTACCCTATAATCTAAAGCTTCATTTAAAAAATATGAAGAATCCATTGTTAATAATACATTTTATATATATCATATTCTAGTCAATGTATATAAGTTAATTCAAATGCTCTGTAACAAAAAATAACAAAACAAATAATAAGTAAGAAGAGGGACAAAATAAAAATTGTAAACTTTTAGAAAATTCAAATTAAATTCACACGATGTACAAGACATGATAGACGAAAACTACAAAGTAACAATTATATTCATGTCAAACAGGTATTTGTGTCTACTAATTATATATATATATATATATATATATATATATATATATAGTGAAAGAAATGTTATAATTAATAATTAAATAAATAACGATACTTTATTATGTATGTACTGATTCATGCTAAGTTTTAAGACATTAATTATCGCTTGTGTTTTATACTTATTTTATAGATAGATGGTCTATATGCTTGTAATCTTTTTGGCGTGTTGTCCATGTTTAT